AAACTCTCGTCGTCGATTTCTGAAGAAGATCCATCACTCGAATTCTCCATAGCTGGACCTGTATTAGGGACTCGCTTTATAGCATCGAAAGGTATCGAAGTAATCTCCAGCCCGGATTGGTCAGCCAGAATTCGATCGACTACTTTAGAAAAACGATGTTTCTGGTTACGGTAGAACTTGCCTGTTCGCTGAAATCCTGTAAAGGACTTCGGCAAACGTTTCAGAGCACCCTCAAGAAAGAGCTGCAAATGGTCCAATGGAATTTTATTCCAAGCTAAAAAACCAGTAGTAACTCGAGCTTCAGCCGATAGGTGCCTCCGCACGCTCACAGAGCCTAGCGTTGAACACTGGCTCTCTACTATGCTTTCAGTGCTTGCCTTAAGTGAAAAATGACACGCTACCTATAGCAAGTCCTTGGCGCCGTTGTAGATGGCCGAGATGCTATGGGCCTTCTCCCATAGTGAAGTTATGGCTACAGAACCAGGACCACACTCCTTTACCATCTCTTGCAGCTTCTCCTGTAAATGCAAGTATTGTTCTACAGCCAATTCTGGATTCAGATCTTCTCCTGTATAGTCTGCGACAGACTGTGTGAGCTCTTTAACGACCTCCGTCTTATCAGCAACCGTCGAATCTACAGCGCCATCGCCAAGTTCTACCGGCTTGTCATATTCCCAGCGAAGTTTGTCAACGCTGTCGTTCCCTAGAAGACCGGCGCCGCTGAATACGTACTCGGACTCCTTCAGCCAATGTGGGATATCATTAAAGATACGCCTACCAAGAGCGTGGATTAAGGCTCCGATCCAGGAAACGACTTGACTCGCCGAGTAAGCGATCACTTGGGGAGTCGTATACTTTGATGCATGCCATAGTTCAAGACCGTTCCACATTCCAACCGTGAAATCCACAGTCCCCAGAAGCGGGAATGACTGGAGGTCGAGTCCTCTGGGGTGAGATCTTCGCCAGCATCATTCTGGGCCTTTTCTGCAAGCAGTGTAAGCTCTGCCTGGCCAACTATCAGTTTATCACGGTACACACATAATGCCTTCCAAACTTGCCATGGCCTGAGGGAAGTGGTTTGGGATATCAAGGACGCGCTAGACATGTGCGTAAGCACGTCCAGCATCACGTGAAAGGCGAATACCCAAGTGTACTCAAGATACTTAGCTCGAGGGTTGTTGTTGTCGGACCTGTGAATAGCCTTGAGATTATGTTTGAAGTTCAGCAGTACCCGGTACTCGGAGGAGCACCAACGAGTTTTACAGTAAGACACTGGTGCATAGTACCGCACCCCTAGCTCTTCTGCCGCTTCGCGAACACGTTCATATCCTGCACCATGTTTTGGCAGTATCTCGTCGTGCAAGCGGGTCCTAATATCAATGAGTTTGTGGGCGTCCGCGTGACAGAGTTCCAACCGATGGGCGACGTCCCAACCATGGTAAAGCTGTGATGATGCATGCTCGCAGGGGGGTGCTATTCCGATGATATCTGCGAACCTGTCACCGAAACGCAAATTCAAGTATTCTCCGTCCGTGGAGAGGCTGACACAAAACCCTTTAATGAACTCGGTACCGATACCAATAGCTATGATCGTCTCATAGAGTAGGTAAGCTAACCCGGCACCAGTTTTAATGGTAGCTGGGGGTGCACCAATCAAGTAGTGTTGTATGCGCCCGCGGACCAGGGTATAGATAGACGCTGGTTGCAAGGTCCTGCAGGACACAGTCACTTTATCTGTAGCGGCCCCGAAGGGACTGGGTCGATTCCCAAAGCACGCTTGGGGCGATGTGAAAATATAGGCGAGTCGTGCGATAAGCTCCTCCCTCATTGCAATAGCGAAAGAAGGGAGGAACTTGCGAGAGTGGTTAAGGTCGCCGATGGCTGCTCCGGCCAAGCCCATCATTGCCAGAGTACGCTCGAAGCGCGAGTAGCTGTCATTCTCCACAATTGTAACGTATGCAGCTCGGGCGACGTTCATGCGGATGGTCTTGTTCATATCCGTCTTCCCACGCTCGGCCATTTGGTTACATCGGCAATGTGTCTCGACAGCTTCGTGCCTAGTAGGCACTGCCTACGGTCACACGAGTTCCCGGAGGTGGGCGTGCCCTGACTGGATTTCCAGGATGGGCATTGGCAATGGGTCTCTCGAGATTATCTTTTCGCATTGGCTTCGCATCACAGTAATAGCAACGGAGAAGATCTTTTGAGGGAGGGTTAGACATTACTTAAGGACTCCGTTGCGGCTAAACCTCCGCGAACTGTGAGTCTCGCGGATTCTCTAATCCTCATGGTGTGAAATTATGGGCAGCTCATAATGAGCCCCATAATATAAGGAGCCGCGCGTCACGGGTTCGCGTGGTGTTTCACGAACTTCGTGACACACCATGTGTCACGCGCGCCGGCACAAATTGTGGCGCCCAATGGAGCCAGCATGCTTGATTCGATCAAACTGGTTGCGGACTAGGAATTCAGATGCATGTTGCATCTCTGGGTTAGAGATCTTGGCCAGTAGCGTACAGTCTAACATGGTCACACGTGGTCGTAACATGGTCACATGGGCGTTGCTAGACGAGTCGTGAGTTTGTCTCTATAAGGCTAAGTAGACAGCCTGCGGCAGACTGCCCGCCTACTTTAGGGTAATCCTGGATATTTTTAGGAAGGCTACCGAAGGTTTCCTCCGAGCTCTCAGGCTTCCTCAAATTTCGTTCCTTCCTCAGCAACATGTGTAGCCGACCACGTATAGTTTT